TCTTTGGAAACTTGCAAGTAGTTACTTAAAACATTCTAAATTTCTTCCCCTGTCCTTGAAATGCACCATATAAATATTGCATTTGATCCTTAACTTACACTTCATAAATAATTTATTTCAAAAATGTCCCTCCATAAGACTATCAGTTGCTGAGGTGTTCAGTTTTCAGGGAAAGCATTTATTTACTGCATGAGCCCAGGAAGGCTGGTAAAGACTTGGCTAAAAGCTCCACATGGAGCGAATTATGGTAATTATATTAATGCTCAAATCCATGATGTGCTGTTCAAATCGGTTAAAAGGTTTTGCACTGTAGTGTCCACATTTGATGGGTAATGAGTCCACTGGAAATGTTTAACACTTCATAGGGAGGCTTCCGAGATTCATTTCTCATAGTTCCAAGAATTGCTACGACTGCCTGGAGGTAGCTTCCAGAGGAGTTTCTGAAAGTCCCAACTGAGAGTGCATGTCCTCTTTAACATCCTCCACTTCTGGTTCAGACTGAAACTACAAGTTCAAGTCACCAGAAATGAAAATCAAAGGAAACATCATACAATTAATTTTGATGACTGGGTACGTTTTAATTCATGTATGGTAATATTCTGGTTAATGATATGGCTCCTTAGGACATCCATTAAAAATCCATTAACAGGCAAAATCTAATAAAATTATTCTGGAAATTTTCTGCTAGATTAGCACTATGGACTTTTAATGAATATTTCCTGTAGGTATTGCTCTATTAGCAGAGCTAATATGCTAATTAAACATGGGTCTTGTGTTGGAAGGGAGGGGAGCACAAAAAGATGAAAATAATCGGAAAATCAGAGTTGAACCTGAACCCAAGTCACCTAAGATAACTGCTAAAATCAGTAAACATCACTAGAGCTTTTAAAAGCAAAAAGTGTGGACATCCCAGTACCAGCCACCCCAGTCATTCATTTACCCACTTATTAATCAAAGAGTAATTTAGCTGCTAAAATGTCCCGTGTCTTGTGCTGGGGCCAGAATACAAATGTAAATAAGTGAAAATCCACAGGTCAAGGAGCTCATAGTCTACAGTAGAATCAAGACATGTAAACAGGTAATCAATGTGTACTATAATAAACCTGCATTCAATACACCACGGGAATACTCAGGAACAAACAACTAAATTTGAGGGAAAGGGTGGACATATAAATTTTAAAAATCACTTAAACAATGAAGCAATTGAAGTTGAAATTTGTGTTCCAGTAAAATATTAGCTCCTTCTAGGGCCTCCCACAGGGAGGGTTTCAATCCTGACATCATTTATTGGTTCTGCATGTGGTTACAGAAAGTTACTTATATCTCTGATTCTCATCTGTAAACAAGGTAACAGTACTTTTGTCAATGGTTTTAAGAATTACATGCAACAAGGTATGTGAAAGCACACAGAAATGTGCTTGAAATATAGAAGGGGAAGGAGGATTAGCATTTATTTGTTGCCTACTATACACACACAATAAACATTATTTGGAAGTCAATACAGCAAAATGATTAGAGCAGGATTTGGAATCCTCCAAACATAGGTTTGAATTCTGCTTCTACCATTTGCAAACTGTGCAACCATAGGTTAGACACCCTTCCCCTTTCTGAACCTTGGTTTCTTCAGCTGTAGAACAGGATAAATAAAAATAACTCTGTTACACTGTTTTGAAAATTTAAAAGGATACAGGTTGTAATGCAATAGTATCATGTCTCAGAAACAGTAAACTATTCGTTTTCATTCTACCATTAACTATATCTTTCATAGGCAAGACTATAAAGATATACAGCATTATGAGACTTGTCTAAGTTCATATCATCAGTGCTAAAACTAAAACTACCCTTGCTCCCAGTTCAGTGTTTTAGACCCAACTTGCCTGAACCCCTCAATTACAGGACAAGAGTCCCTCCCCTAGTACTCAGTCCTGATGCTTCTTCTTCAAGGCAGGGAGCTCATGGGGAGCCTCCAGAACACCAGACTGGGGACTCAGGACTTAGTGGCCCTGCTTTAGCTCTAATGACCAGTGCACTAGTACCTTGGGGTTGTGGGCTAAATTTTGTCCCCAAGATTCCTATGTTGAAGCTCTAACCCCCAATGTGACTGTATTTGGAGATAAGAGTCAACAAGGAAGTAATTAAGGTTAAATGAGGCCAAAAGGGTGGGGCCCTGATCTGATAGGTTTAGTGTCTTTATAAGAAGAGACACCAGAGAGCTCTCTTTCTGCACACACACAAAGAAGAGATCACATGAACACATAGCAAGACGCAGCTGCCAACAAGCCAAGAGGAGGCCTCAGAATTAAACTACCTTGTTGGCACCTTGACCTTGGACTTTCCAGCCTCCAGAACCGTGAGAAATAAATTTCTGTTGTTTAAGTCTCTCAGTCTATAGTATGCTATAGTTATGGCAGCCAGAGCAAACAAAGACACCTGACATATCTCTTTGCCACCGTTTTCTCTTAACTCTTTCCAATCCGTCTCAATTCAAACAATTGTGCTCAAGTCAAACACATGCTGTCAGTAGATATTTACCAACATCTTCTATGCCAAGATACTCAAGCGTACGGCAGATACAGTCCCTGCCCTCCAGAAGCTTTTGGTTGAGTATCACTTTGCTGTCTGGCTGCCCATTTCCCCTGCTGGACCTAAGGCACTGTCCAAATTCCCAGTCTGGCTGGCTGGAGTCCTGACCCGTCATCCTCTGGTTGGCTCCCTCAGCCCCCAGAATAAAAGACTGACTCTATTCCCCAGCTGCTATCTCAGTTGCTGGCTCCAGATGGTCTGAATACCCAGAATTTTAAAACTAACCAACCACCATATGACTTAAAGTTTTAATACTTTTTATACCCTGTGAAGTTATATCCACTCATCAGCTGAGAGCCCATCACACTCTGACTCCTGTCTAGGTGTGGACTATGGATGTTTGTTCCAGTCAAGCTCAAACTGGCTTTGGGTGCTAAATATCGGACTTCTGCTTAATCCTGCTGGAGGCCAGCCATACAGCCACATCAGTTCCCTCAGGTCCCAGATATCCCAAGGAGGAAGTCTGCTTTGGTAGAAAAGTATAGAGTCAGAGACCCTAGTCCTACTATTGACCCTACAACTAAACAGCAGACAAAAGAACTGAATCTCAGTTTTCCCATCTGTCAAATGGAAATAGCTAGACAAATAGGTTTGTGAGGGCCTAATGAGATAAATGAATCACCTACCAAATCACCGACCAAAGGACTTAGAACACAGCTGATGACTAACGACTGCTGCTTTGCTTTCTTCCTCCCTTCCCCTGGTCCCAAGCTCCTCCCCTTCTCTACCAGCTCAGATCCTATGACGGTTTCAGTCGAGCCACAGGAAGTCCAGAAGGGTTCTTTCTGCATACTACCCTGGCTCTGTTCTTTACCCCAGATTCAGCTATTAGTAGTTGAACAGACCATGGACAACTGAGCTATGTTGTCCACAGGATAGCAGCATAGATGCTACGTGGATCTTTCATATTTCTATTCTTATATTCTTGCAATCTAAGAGAGTAGTCATGAGGACTCCACCAGAGAAAGGCTGGACTGAAATGACCTACTAAGTGACTCGGTTATCAAGGGGGGTTGAAACTATGGCAGACACTACTAGTTGTTCACTCATATTTTATAGCACAGCTCTCAACTTCTGGCCAGTCACACGAATGGTCACCTGACTGCCTGGCCAATTACCACATTTCCCAGCCACCCCTGCAGCCTCATGAGGCCTCGTTAACAAGTACCAATCAAATACATACACTACCAAATGTAAAATAGATAGCTAGTGGGAAGCAGCCGCATAGCACAGGGAGATCAGCTCAGTGCTTTGTGACCACCTAGAGGGGTGGGACAGGGAAGGTGGGAGGGAGACGCAAGAGGGAGGAGATATGGGGATGTATGTATATCTGATTCACTTCGTTATACAGCAGAAACTAACACACCATTGTAAAGCAATTATACTCCAGTGAAGATGCTGAAAAAAAACAAAAACAAGTGCCAGTCAATAGGATGTGATCAGAAATGGTGTGGCCAATTTCCATGTTATGCTTCCTCCAAAGGAATGTGGATGGATTCTTCTGGTCCTTTATATTCTTCCCACTAACTGGCTGGGAACTGATGAGAAATGAAGTGGCTAATCTGGACCCAAAGTTGGAGGACATGTTATGAGAATGGCAGAGCTGCCTTATAATCACTTACCTCTATTCTACTACATAAAAGGGAAATACTCTGCCATCCTGTTTAATCTGCAGTACTTTTAAATTGTCTCGTTACAACCTCCTAGCCTGCACACTAAACAATACAGAAGTACTTCTCTTTAATCAGGTATAATTGCCTACCTGATGACAGCTTACTAGAATCGTAGGTAGTAACTATAAGAAATAAACATCTTTCTGTGACATGAACATGTAAACCTGAAACTTTAACATATCAGCTACCATTATATGTACCTAGTATCTGAATTCTTTTACCAGGTAAATTCCTACCAATCATCCACACCTTTACTACCCAGTTAGTGTCGCATAAAACTGGAAGTCAGGAACCCTACGGCTTTAGTCAGGAACCACTGGCTCACGTTCCAATTTATGTCTTGCTCCTGATCCTTCCAATTTTGACTTCTTCAATTATTTTTTTTCTGTATGGCCTTGCCTGGTTCCTTGAACCTAAATCACAAGACATTTTCCTAGGTCTGACTGGAGACAATCCATACACATCCCTTTGATTATGCTATTCCCAGTTGCTCCATGCAAGTATCTTCCTCAGTCTAGCCCCACGTCTAACAGTCTACATTTCAAGGCGGCTTTTCATAACTCAGTTCCTATAAGCCCCAATACAGGGGCCTACTAGTCATGGCCTACCCATCATAACTTACTTGCTTCTCTTGGAAAAACAGGGCTGTGTTCCTATATTTTAATTCAGACAAAGACAAACAAAAAATAAACACCAATATATTCAAGTGTACGTACACATAATCAGAAAAAATTATTTTTTTACCTATTTTGCTGTAATTATCGGCAACCAAGTCTTCCAAACCAACCATCTTCCAGAAACTGTCATCCCAGCCTTTCTCTGCAGAGTATGTCCATTTGCACACCAGGGAGCAGAGAGACCTAAGAAAATGGGAGAGAGGTAGAACCAATAATATGAGCCTGGTTTCCTTTATATTTTGCCTAATACTCGTCCAGATATCTGCAATAGTATTGAAAAAGTAGAATAAATTGAAGTAGGTAATTACTCATCCCTGTTTAAATCAAAAGTCCCCACTGACACCTGTTAATGACTGAGAGCATCTTCTTTCTCTTTCAAAAGGCTCCCAGCCCTTTATTTAGGTCTGGATCAAACAATGTATATAAATATTTGTATTTATATCTATATTCATATTTACATGACATTTGTGGGATAAACAGAAATTACAACAATGACTAGCTACTTGATGATACGGAGCATTATTATTAAGTGTTAGGTGTGAAACTGATCATTGTGGTTATGTTTTGAAAAAGGCTTCTTAGCTAAATGATACATACTGAAACACTGATGTATAAAATGATATATTGGGCTTCCCTGGTGGCGCAGTGGTTGAGAGTCTGCCTGCCGATGCAGGGCACACGGGTTCACGCCCCGGTCTGGGAAGATCCCACATGCCGCGGAGCGGCTGGGCCCGTGAGCCATGGTCGCTGAGCCTGCGCATCCGGAGCCTGTGCTCCATAATGGGAGAGGCCACAGCAGTGAGAGGCCCGCGTACCGCAAAAAAA